TCTAAGACATATTCACAGATTGTGTAGTGATATGTATTAGAGTAAAAAAAAAAAAAAAATAATTAATTTTTAGCAAGGAAAAATAAACACCCTTCAAATATCCTGGATGCCTTGAAAAATCTCAAAGAATTATGCTTGCACATGCTCACTGAAGCCATTGCAAGCACATTTCTGGAAGACTTGACATTTAAGTAAAGCAACAGTCAGAAAATATCATATTCTAACCTATTAACCACCTATCTATGGCGAATTTCCTTTTTGTAAATCTAGCTTGAAATATTTGGCTATTGCCATACAACAAAAACCATAATGGTACAAGGGTTCATGCAGAATGTGGCTGTTTTGGAGACTAAGGGCATCTTTATCAAATATTTAAAGGGCAATTTGCCCAATAGTGGTCCAACATTCAACTAAAATTCTTTGGGCAACATACATTCTATGTATAAAGCATATTTGTGGACCTTAGCCCAGTGAAAAATACATTTCCTGAAATTTGACAACATTGTTTCTTCAATAGGAGAAGGACTTTACTGTAACATTTACCCTGTTTAATAAATAGGGTAACATTCACACTATTTAATAATAGTCGAATGTTACCTTCCCTGACATTTCCTCATCTTGTCTGAAGGTAAAATTCCCTTGGTTGCCTTTTATGATACCAAAATTGTCTGATTGTCTATGGAGAAGGTTTAACTTGCATTTTTTTAACACAGGCTCAGCACTTCCAGGTTGTTGTTGGTTAAAGAAAAATAGCACCTAAATCGGACAATGGGGAGCTGCCTTCACCATCCATCCACCACCTAGGACCCTTTGACTATGGACTTCTCTGTCTCCATTTGTCGCTTCATCGCCACCCCTTTTGGAACTCAGTACTATTGTATGCTTATTCCCCTATTTGTATTTGTATTTCTCATGCTGTATCCGTCATTTGTCACTAAACCTATCTAGACTCTTCCTGTGAGGTCCTCTCCCAGCGCTGTTTTGTTTTTCGTTTAAAAAAAAATAGCACGTCTGTTCTCCTTCCTGTCCAGAAGCATATTGGGTGCAAAGGTTTATGTACAGTATGCATGGGTACATACTCATCCTATTAAAAATAGGCTAAATGTGAAAAAGACATACCAAAGATTCCCTTGGTGAATTTCCCAGTTAATTATTTAAAAATATACCCTTAACTATGCTACTAGGCTATCAGTAATACTGCATGTCCACATAGGTCCAACGTCCAACATAGGCTTCTAAAGTGGGTAATAGAGGAAGAGATGGTGATTAAAAAACTGAGCATGCACCAATAGATACAAATGACTGTACAAACAATCATGGCAAGCTTACAGCCCCACCTAATTCAATCTACATCCATGGTCTCATGACTCTCATGACCCAGCTTTACTGTTGAAAGGGTTCTTGAAGTTAGTCTGATGTATAAAAACCTCATATCCTAATTTAAAAACATCCCATTGCCTATTATATAATTAATTAACTAATTAACAATAATAAGAAGAAAATAGATTATATATATTAGAGAGCATATTTTAACATTCCACATATTGCATTTGTTAAGAAAAAATATTGAATCCAAACAATCATTCTAAATATAGAAACGCAAATGCTTATCTACCTATCAATCCACATTGGAGTCAGAGAAATCCATTGAATCATACTAAGGTCTAATCCCGATAAGCTAATAAGTCCTATAATAATATAAAATGACTTGAGCAAAATATACACCAAAAAAACTAAAAATAAATATATAAAACTACATAAAAGCAGATCATGCACATCAGAACAACAGTTTAACAAATGATTGATCATTAATCTCCTGCAACCTAAATGATCTGAAATTGTCTTTTCCAAAAAAAAGTATTTTTTGTCTTTATGTTTTCAGGAATTATTAAACATTACTGTAGAGATATATCTATCAGCTTCTATTGCCTTTTCATGTGCATTACATATGTATTCCTATGACAGTCATTAGTAGATTAGAATGGAGTTATCACAGCCGTGGCAAGATTACCCACCATTTTCAAAGTTATTTGCCCTTGGACACATTATGCAATTGCTTGAAAGGTTTCTGGGCTTGCTGCACCCTATAAATATACACTTGGCTCACCAAATTTTACAAGGAGCATTTAGGTCAAAACGGGACTTTTGAGTTCATATGATAAAAGAACAAATTTCAAGGAGTGGAAACTGCATTTATTTTTGACATACTCCCCTGCTACATTTATACACTTATTCCAACGTTTAACTTATGCCTGGAAAGCTTCAGCATAGAAAGATTTGTCAGCACGCCTGAACCATCCTAGGACAGCCGGCTTCACTTCATCATCAGTGCCATTTGTCCCAGAAAACATATGTAGCAGGAGATATTAATCCTGTCTCATGGCTGTGATCTGCTGACTGGCCTCTCCTGTGTAACCTGACACTTGCCCTGACACAGACAAAGCAGTGAGGGATTTCAGCCCCCCCTTCTCCTCTCAGACTGTAAGAGAGTGAGAGAGCCAATTACAAGAGCCATTAAAGGAGCCAATGACAAGGACTCTGTCAAACAGGAAGTGCAGGTGCAAAGCATTGTGGACGATGGAGTCTTGAACCAAAACGGCCTTATAGGCTAATATGGAGATAGAATTATAAAAGAACTACGAAAGCCATCATGCTGAGGGAGAGCAGAGTGAAGGGATCCAGCTTGGGGTTTTTTCCTGAGGAGAGGAGACTGCATGTGGCAGCAGAGAGATTGGACCTGGCAAAGAAGTGCTTTTGGGCAGTGCACTGCATGCTTGGTGATCTGCATCAGCCAAGGGAACATCCAAACTGAGAGAAGTGGCTTACAGTACAGAGGCCATCCTGACAATGTGAAGTGCTCATCCTGAGGTGACCAGAGGAACCTGTCATTTCCAGGACGATTGTTTGGGCCTTTGTCACAGGATCTGGTGAGAGGGATTTTTTCCCACTGTCAGATGACAGGAACATTGCACACATACTGCATCATACCTTGCTCAAATTCACCAGGCACTGGGTTGTGTAGATGGCCCTGCTGAACAGACACAGTATTCGCTTTGCTATACAAATACTGCCACTGGATTACAATTATACTTTAAGTGTTTAAGGAGTTTAAGTGCACCAACGAAAGTGGCTAGCTGAAGATCCCAAGATTCATCCTGTTACCAAGAGACTGAAGTTACTGGTGCCATACGTGCACGCGCATGCGTATTTAGGCCTCTATATTGCATGGTGTGGGAGGGAATAGCTTTACCTTGGAAAGCAGCTATTAAGCATCATTTGGATACAGTGTTTGCCTATTGGGCTTGTGGTGTCGGGGGTTAGAAGGGAGAAGTTTGACACAATAGAGAGTCATTCTTCTGCCCTCCTCCTGCTTGGACATCATAGAGCCGAATCTATGTAGAGGAGGTAATTCCACTTTCAGGTTGCCATTTAAGTGTTTGCCTCTGCTCTTGGGGTTATTCATGGTTGGAATCCCCTGAAAGCAGCCTGAGTGTAAAAGTGAGTTATATTGCTTTCGGTCACAGTATTTGCTGTTCTCTTGATTCTCCTAACATATACCTGTTGTTAATGTTTATTACTTCCCATAGAGGTCTTACAGTAAAGCTGATCTCTGTGTTTTATTATAACATGTGTGCTTTTCATTGATCCTTGCACTTACACTATTGCCAGGTGTGCCAGTTGGGGCTGAGACAGTTCTTGGGGTTGAGAAGCAGAGTGGCGGAGTGAACAAACTTAAGCAGCCCCTACGGGGGTATCGCTACATGTGGGGGCTCGTCCGGGATAATTTCCAATACTCTGCAATCAACTCTTAAAGATAGTGCCATGCTGGACCCAGAAGTCAGAACCTCAAAGCCAGGGACATCCTCAGAAGAATCCCCTTCTCTGCTAGTGGCTGAGTTTGGCAAACTAGTTACAGGGCTTCTCAAAAACTCAGTAGGGTCCACCAATTATGAGTATCGCAAACTACAGTTCTTCTCGGGGAAAGTTCCCACACCTTCAGGAGAAGATGACTTTTTATACTTGGATGGATCAAGCCATCCAAGCGGTGGAAGAGTGGGATGTGGTTGACACGGTAAAGAGACAGAGGGTGGTAGAGAGCCTGCGGGCACCAGCTTCTGATGTAGTTCGAAACCTGAAACGGGATAAACCCACCTGCTCAGTTTCTGAGTGTCTAGAAGCACTCTGTGAAGTTTATGGGAGAGTTGAAGATTGCACAGAATTAATCTATCTCTTTCATCACACTTATCAAATGGAGGGTGAGAAATTAATAAACTATGTCACACGGCTGGATAAAACCCTTCAACAAGTTTTAATGAAAGGTGGGATGAAAGCTGAAGAGGCCAATAAATCCTTAATGCTACAGGTGCAAAAGGGAGCCCAGCCACTGGATCCCATTGTGCTACAACTTCAATCCAGGAGTCCAACTGACCTCCTCACTTACTCCAAATTCATAAAGGCTATTAGAGAGGAAGAAGCTCTCATTGCAGCCAAGGCACAGATACCTGAGTCTGCCAAGGGTCTTAAACATGGCGCTACGGCTTACATCATACAGTCTGGGTCTGCATTGGAGACCAGCTCAGATGGAGGGCCCCGTCAGCTCTATTGACACTTTGACACAAGCTATAGTTCAGTTGGCACAGGCGCAAACTACTCTACAGCAAACATTCTGTGGAATTCAGAAAACAGTAGGACAAGTGATGGAAGCCCATGCCGATATGCAACAATCACTTGAGGAAGTTAAGCAGACGGTGTCCACTCTGATCAAGGAAGGAAGGGGTGTTGTCTCCTCTAACGATAAGAAGTGTTATCGCTGTGGAGAGGAAGGCCATTTAATTGCTAATTGCTCAAATGAAGAGAACCTGACAGACCTTACTGCAGAGTTGGTGAGAGCATTAAAGAAGTTGTCTCTTGGAAAGTCGCAGAAAAACCTTCAGAAGGCCCCGGTGAAGGAGCAAACTGGGTGCCCATCTGAAGTAGAGAGCTTCATAAAAAAAGACAAGAGGAGACAGCGGCGGAAGTTCAACCCTTTGCAGAAGGCTCCTGTTGTAGCCTCTGAGCGACCCAGTGCCCCATTTACTTTGGCACATACGGCCCAGCAGCGGAGGATCAATGCACACCAGATGCCCAGCACTCAAAGGAGACTCAAACCAGATCAGAATTTTCACAAGAAAGTAGTGCGGATTCAGGCCACCAAACAGACTCAGATCCCAACCACCCCCAAGCTTCCAGACAGGCTGGTGGGACCTGCTCCTGTCGTTTCCATCCAAGTAGAGGGAATCTACACTAAGGCCCTTTTGGATACTGGAGCTCAAGTGACCCTTCTCTACCGAGACTTCTATGACAAGCACCTCAAGCACCTGCCCTTGCAGAAGTTGGAAGAGCTGGAGATATGGGGCATTGGCACTCAAAACTTCCCCTATGATGGTTATTTACCAGTCAGGCTGACTTTTGATCCCTCGGTGGCTGGGAAAACTGAGACTTTTGACACGTTAGCAGTGGTCTGTCCTCGCCCAGTAGGTCAAGTGTCGCCCAGGGGGGGGGGGGGTAGGGGTCAGTACGGGTTCCCTTATTATAGGAACCAATACTGATCTGGTCAGAAGACTGTTGACGCCTGTTGTTCTGGAGTCAGACACTTCAACTACAAGTGTGCACCCCTTGTTGAGACAGGCCTATCAGCGCCTGGTGCAAGAACAGAAAGCTCCAGCTGAAGGAGTGGGGAAGATCTGGCGTTTGGACCGAAGGGAGAAGGTGTTACAGCCTGGTGAAGTGGCCTGTTTACAAGCGTCCGTCAAGTTGAACTGGAAGCAACCAGGCCCTTTCATTGTCGTCGAGGCAGATGGCCAGAGGAAAGGTTCGGGAGTAGAGATAATTCCTGAAGTTGTTTCAACTAAAGCGTTACAAAGAAGTCATGGAAAAATCCCAGTTAGTGTCTGCAACATAACGGCCTTACCTGTGAAGATGCCAGCACGGATGTTGTTGGGACAAGTTAACCCAGCCACCCCAGTCTCACTATCTGATTTGGTGGGGGAAGAGAAAGATGGGATCCCTGCCAAGGAATTTTATCTGGAAAATACTCCCCTTCCACCTGAATGGAAGGAAAGGGCCAAGGCTCAGCTTCAGGGATGGAAGGTTGCATTCTCCAAGAGTGAATTCGATGTGGGATGTGCAAAAAGTGCCAAACACCGAATCCGTCTTAAAGAGGATAAGCCATTCAGGGAGAGAGTTCGACGGATTCCTTTAGGGGACTTGGAAGACCTGCGTGAGCAACTGGCAGAGTTGAAAGGGGCAGGTATCATCCGAGAGTCCCGGAGTCCATATGCTTCTCCAATAGTGGTGGTACGGAAGAAGAATGGTGCATTGAGGCTGTGTATTGATTATCGGGACGCTGAACAGGAGGACCATTCCTGACCAATACACCACCCCAAGAATAGAAGACGCTTTGCAGAGTCTATCAGGGGCCAAGTGGTTTAGCGTGTTGGATTTGAAGAGCGGATACTATCAAATTCCATGCACCCTGAAGACCGAGAGAAGACCGCTTTCATTACCCCCGTGGGGTTCTTTGAATTCAACCGCATGCCACAAGGCCTTTCCGGTGCCCCAGCCACTTTCCAGAGGTTAATGGAGAAGACGGTGGGAGACATGAACCTGATAGAGGTATTGGTGTACCTAGATGATATCATTGTGTTTGGCAAGACTCTGGAGGAGCACGAAGAGCGTCTAGAGAAGGTACTGAAGAGACTCCATGATGAGGGGTTGAAGTTATCCCTGGAGAAGTGCCAGTTCTATCAACCCTCAGTTAATTACCTTGGCCACATTGTGTCTGCTGATGGAGTGGCCACCGACCCCCAGAAGCTAGAGGCCGTCACTTCCTGGCCAAGGCCTACTAATGTGACCGAACTTAGGTCATTTCTGGGATTCTGTTCCTACTACAGAAGATTTGTTGAGGGATTCGCTAAAACAGCTCGCCCACTCAACGAACTACTGAAAAGTGGAGAGGAAGATGATGACCCAGATCTGCCAAAACCTGTTCGATCAGCTGGAGGTCTTAGGAAACCCAGAGAGTCCATTCAAGAACAGTGGACTGCTCAGTGTGAAGAGGCTTTCAGACAGCTGAAGTGGAGTCTAACCACTGCTCCAGTTCTAGCCTATGCAGACCCAACCAAGCCATACGAGCTGCATGTTGATGCTAGCAGAGATGGGTTGGGCGGGGTGCTGTATCAAGAGCATGACGGGCACCCTCGGCCTGTTGCCTATGTGAGTCGGAGCTTGGCACCCACTGAGAAGAACTATCCCACACACAAGCTCGAATTTCTGGCTCTAAAGTGGGCAGTAGTGGATAAGCTGAGAGATTACTTGTACGGGGCTGAATTCGTGATCAAGACCGACAATAACCCTCTCACCTATATCCTCACTACGGCGAAGTTAGATGCCACAGGTCACAGATGGCTGGCTGCCTTATCTGAATTCACTTTCAGTCTGAAATATCGACCAGGAGTTGGAAACAAAGATGCGGATGCATTGTCAAGAAGGCCTCATTGTTCCAGGGACTATACTGAAGAATGGACACAGCTGACTCCCGAAGGGGTACAAGCCTTATGTCAAGGAGCAGAACACCAAGCTGGAGGAGGATCCAGGGCCAAAGACCTTGGAGTGTCAGCCGCTGGTGTTCCCAGATGTTACTGCAACGTCACCCAAGTCGGGGATGAAGGTCTGCCAAAACTCTCCAAGAAAGACTTGCGAAGGGATCAGTTGGAAGACCCTCTCTGTAGCTTGGCATTGAAAGCCTTGGAGAGCCAATGCCCTGACTTGCTCCTCACTGACTCTCTTAAGGAAGCCCGTCTACTACACCGAGAGTGGGATCGGTTGCAGTTGCACCAAGGGGTGGTCTACCGAAGGGGCCCCTCTGGAGATCCTGGAGAAAGATGGCAGTTGATCCTGCCAGAAAAACACAGAGAGACAGTATTAACTGCTTTGCATGATAGTCATGGTCACTTAGGACCCGACAGGACCTTCCACCTGGTGAGGGACAGATTCTACTGGCCCTGCATGCGAGCTGAAGTTGAGGGTTACTGTCACTCCTGCATTAGGTGCATCCAAAGGAAGACTTTGCCTCACCGAGCTGCCCCAATGGGCCACCTTCAGAGTCAGGGACCCATGGAGCTGGTGTGCATTGATTTTCTAAGCTTGGAGCCTGATTTGAGTGGACAGGGAAATATCCTAGTAGTAACTGATCACTTCACTAGGTATGCTCAGGCTTTTCCCACAAGAGACCAACAGCACTCACGGTGGCCAAGATCTTGGTGGAAAAATTCTTTGTGCACTATGGTCTACCTCAACGCATCCATTCTGATCAAGGGAGAGACTTTGAAAGCAGTCTCATCAAGAAACTGTTAGATCTTTTGGGCATCAGGAAGTCTAGAACCACCCCATACCATCCTCAGGGAGATCCCCAACCAGAGAGATTCAACAGAACCCTCTTGGATATGCTTGGGACTCTGACTTCTGAGAAAAAGCAGCACTGGAGCAAGCACATAGCAGCTATCGTGCATGCTTATAACAGCACCACAAACGATGCCACAGGATACTCTCCCTATCGTCTAATGTTTGGGCGAGAGCCCGTCTGCCAGTAGATTTGGCTTTTGGCACATCCATAGACCGTACCTCTGCAACCTCACACAGAGGATATGTGGACCGCCTGCGGAAAAGTCTGAAGGCTGCCTATGACAAGGCCCAAGCTGCCTCAGATGCCCGAGGACAGAGAAATAAAAGAAACTTTGACTCCGGGTACGAGTGCAGGACTTACAGCGGGGTGACAAGGTGCTGCTGAGAAACCTGGGTGTCCCTGGAAAACACAAATTGGGCTGACCGGTGGAAATCGCAGCCCTATGTCATCTGCAAACAGCTGCCAGGACTCCCAGTGTACCAGATCCGGCCAGAGGGAAGCACAGGCCCGCTGAAAACTTGGCATCGTAATCATTTGTTGCCTCTATCTGAAGCAGTTTGTGTGCCACTACAGCCAGATCCACAGTCATCATCCAGAGCCCCCCAGAGATCTCGGCCAGTGACTCGGTTTCAGTCTGTGCTTCAGCCTGCAGAAGATGGAGACAGCGAAGATGAAGAGATGGGAATGGATTGGCTGTGGTTGTCTCAGATGCTTGAATCTGCTATCCCTCCTTCTCCTGCCACAGTAATCGACACCGGGATACTCAGGCCAGAAGCTCCTGAGTTTGTGCCTCAGAGTCCACCAATTGAAGAGCTGGAAGACTCTCAGTCCTCTTTGCTGACAACAGACTCTGCAGACTTCCCATCCTTCATTGAAGAGGAAGTTAGGGATGAAGCTAAAATTCAGGGAGAAGAGACCAGTGTGCTTGCAACCCCAGAGCCTAAAGAACAGCGAGAGCGTAGGGTTATTCACCCGCCAAAGAGACTAACATATGATACTTTGGGTGAGAGCTCTGAAGAGGTTGTTCTCACCGCTAAAAGGACTCTTGAAGCACCTAATCCTCCCACCACAGATTTGGTGGTTGAAAATCCTGACTCACCCCCTGACACATCTGGCTGGGCAAGTCCAATTAAGGTGGCTTATAGGCTACTAACTGGTGGGAGGTTCCCCTGCCAAGATTTTATGAGAATGTAAATTGTTTGGTTTCCTGTGTGTACTAACTTGTTTTTCTCCGCGTGTATATATCAAGCATGTACCAGGTCAAGGATTGTTACTGCCTTTGGAGGACCAAAGGTTCTTTGGTGGGGGGAGTGTGTAGCAGGAGATATTAATCCTGTCTCATGGCTGTGATCTGCTGACTGGCCTCTCCTGTGTAACCTGACACTTGCCCTGACACAGACAAAGCAGTGAGGGATTTCAGCCCCCCCTTCTCCTCTCAGACTGTAAGAGAGTGAGAGAGCCAATTACAAGAGCCATTAAAGGAGCCAATGACAAGGACTCTGTCAAACAGGAAGTGCAGGTGCAAAGCATTGTGGACGATGGAGTCTTGAACCAAAACGGCCTTATAGGCTAATATGGAGATAGAATTATAAAAGAACTACGAAAGCCATCATGCTGAGGGAGAGCAGAGTGAAGGGATCCAGCTTGGGGTTTTTCTCCTGAGGAGAGGAGACTGCATGTGGCAGCAGAGAGATTGGACCTGGCAAAGAAGTGCTTTTGGGCAGTGCACTGCATGCTTGGTGATCTGCATCAGCCAAGGGAACATCCAAACTGAGAGAAGTGGCTTACAGTACAGAGGCCATCCTGACAATGTGAAGTGCTCATCCTGAGGTGACCAGAGGAACCTGTCATTTCCAGGACGATTGTTTGGGCCTTTGTCACAGGATCTGGTGAGAGGGATTTTTTCCCACTGTCAGATGACAGGAACACTGCACACATACTGCATCATACCTTGCTCAAATTCACCAGGCACTGGGTTGTGTAGATGGCCCTGCTGAACAGACACAGTATTCGCTTTGCTATACAAATACTGCCACTGGATTACAATTATACTTTAAGTGTTTAAGGAGTTTAAGTGCACCAACGAAAGTGGCTAGCTGAAGATCCCAAGATTCATCCTGTTACCAAGAGACTGAAGTTACTGGTGCCATACGTGCACGCGCATGCGTATTTAGGCCTCTATATTGCATGGTGTGGGAGGGAATAGCTTTACCTTGGAAAGCAGCTATTAAGCATCATTTGGATACAGTGTTTGCCTATTGGGCTTTGTGGTGTGGTGGGGGTTAGAAGGGAGAAGTTTGACACAATAGAGAGTCATTCTTCTGCCCTCCTCCTGCTTGGACATCATAGAGCCGAATCTATGTAGAGGAGGTAATTCCACTTTCAGGTTGCCATTTAAGTGTTTGCCTCTGCTCTTGGGGTTATTCATGGTTGGAATCCCCTGAAAGCAGCCTGAGTGTAAAAGTGAGTTATATTGCTTTCGGTCACAGTATTTGCTGTTCTCTTGATTCTCCTAACATATACCTGTTGTTAATGTTTATTACTTCCCATAGAGGTCTTACAGTAAAGCTGATCTCTGTGTTTTATTATAACATGTGTGCTTTTCATTGATCCTTGCACTTACACTATTGCCAGGTGTGCCAGTTGGGGCTGAGACAGTTCTTGGGGTTGAGAAGCAGAGTGGCGGAGTGAACAAACTTAAGCAGCCCCTACGGGGGTATCGCTACACATATGCCATCACTTTCCCTGCAGACGCAATTGTCCTAAATTTTTTTGGTGGTGGTCAGTCCGCATGCTTCCTTTGCTTTAATGCTCATTTTGATTCCGGAGTGAA